GGATCACTTCCGGTACTACCGTCAAGTCCTTCCAGCAATGCTCCAGTCACAGTCCAGTGTTGTCAACCGCCAACCGACGCACTCGCCCGACGCCTCTACTTCACTTTGTCAGGCAGGTCCTATTTAAGAGATTTCTTGATTGCGAACAGGTGTGGCAGTAATCAGGCCTGGGTGTGGCTAGAGAAATTGAACTCAGGTGTGATAAACCGCAGTTTTAAGAGGGGGGCAAACACTTCTTCACACAGGGCCATGTATTTTTGGATTTTGTTTTCCCTTAATAATAAAAACCTTCATTTAAAAACTGCATGTTGTGTTCACTTGTGTTATCTTTTACTAATATTTAAATTTGTTTGATGATCTGAAACATTAAAGTGTGACAAACATGCAAAAAAATAAGAAATCAGGAAGGGGGCCAACACTTTTTCACACAACTGTATATAGCATATATTAGCAAATAACTTAAATTTCAGTCTTTTTCTCACACCGAGCTGTGGTCTGGCTTCAGAAGACTTGGAGTATAGAGTTTTTTTAGACAGATGTTGTCGCTTAAATATTTTTGTATCATAAAGAGCTCTCTTTCCCATGGGAATAAAACCACCATATGGGAATGGCGTAAGGGTGAGTACAAATAACAGATTTGAAAAAAAGCTAATAATAATAATTCACTGGCCCTCATGTAAACGTCTCTTTAAACCTGCAGTAAAGTGAATCTCATGATAACATATCCAGGTTTAAGCACATTTAACCCCAATTCTCGTGACTAATGCATTCAGATGTTTTTATTTTTTTTATTTTCATTATTCTTAATGATTTTAGAGATTGATTTTATTTATTGTTATTAGTTTAATAATTATTAATTATTAAATGGTACAACAGTATTAAAATGCAGCAGTTGAAAAGTAGGCTTCATTTTCTTCATGCAGTATATTTATCTATATTTGTTAAGTTCACATTGATGGCTGAAATGTAATGGATGTCCTGCATGAAAATTGCAGGTTGATTGGAAGATGCTTGCAGGGAAGGAACTGCATGTTACTAAAGGAGGTTCTGATAAACATTTCCATTCACCCTGCCATGTAGCTGTATAAGACATCCCCTAAATCAAGACACTTCCTCCTCCACCTTTCATTGACTTCTTTACTGACTTTCCCCAGTTTGATGACAAGCATAATGTTTCCTGTCAGACCCAAATAAATTAAACTTGCTCTCATCACTAAAGTGAACTTTGGACCAGTTCTCTTCTCTCCACACAACATGCTTCTCAGAAAAGGAGTCTAGCCTTATGATTTTTTCTGCTGATGAGAGGCTTTGTCACTGCAGAGTGCGTTTTCAGTCTGACTTCTCTTAAACGTGCCGAGGCAGATCCTTACCTTGTTCAGCACTGAACTGGTGAGCAATTCCAGCTGCAGTGTTGAACCGATTCCCATTTTGAGACTCTCCGCATTATCCTGCCTTCTCTTGCATTTGTCTTACATGGATGACCAGCGTTTTTGGGGGACCTGAATGAATTAGTGTCATTGTAAAGATGCAATATTCTAGAAATCACAGATTTGGAACAAATAACTTCTCTTGCAATGGCTGAAAGGGTCATACCTTTGGCCTTCATCTGGACAACCTGCTGTCGGAGGGTTTCAATCACTTTAGAATGGCTCACCATCTTGCAAAGTCAGTGAAAACTGGAAAGTTTGGCCGCCAGTTAAATAGGGTTTTAAGCATGTGCACATACAAAGACAATAAGACAATAAAATTCCTTCAATCTCTGTTGTAACAGGTAAACGATCTTGTATTTCTATTACCTTTTATTCCCATTAGCTATGATGGTAACTAGCACCAGTTGTTTTGTTGCTATCGACCGTCTTCCCGTTGTCGATCTCTTGCAGCAGCACACAAGTTCTTGGCAGAAGCCCCACCCTGTTTGGCAGAGGGGCGTGTTCACCCATTGTCCCCTCCTCCATTGTCGCCTTCGGTATTCTCGTCCCTGTTTTACATCCTCGTCCTCCGCAGAGCAGCTTGGTGTAAGCCGACCTGAAGTCTCTATTGAGTGTGGCGTAAAGTACTGGGTTTAGGGCAGAGTTTGCATATCCTAACCAGGGGGAGATAAAACGTTGCAAAGGCGTCGGCCACTACGTATGTTGGATTCAACTCAAACTGGCAATCTCGTGCAGGGTCGCCCTGGCGAATATTTTGCACGCTTAAGTCTCTCGTATTCCAGCCTAGGTGGATAGGTACAAATGAAACGCCCAACGAAACCAGCCAGATTGTCGCTAAAACCGCACCAACTCTCCACGGAAGCACTAGCATTGGATAACGCAATGGGGCAGTGACCGCAAAGTAGCGGTCCAAGCTGATAGCAAAGAGATTGAGTATGGAGGCAGTGCATAACATGACATCCAGGGAGATGTAGATGTTGCAGAAGTGCGCCCCCAGTGGCCAATCGCCCGTAACTTGGTAAAGGGTGGAAAACGGCAGCACGAGAGCGCTCAGTAGAGAGTCTGTAATCGCTAGCGAGACAATGTAACAGTTGGTAACGTTACGTAGGCGTCTAGTCGCGTACACAGCCAGACAAACCAAAATATTTCCACTGACAGTGAGGAGTATAAGAACGGAGAGCGTTACAGCCAATGCTATCTGAGATGTCATCTTCTGTGTCTGCGTGATTTCTTCACAGTTTTATTGCTAAAAAAAACACTAGGAGTGCGGGTGTGTTTCTGTTTTTCATATTTTCTGGCTTTGTGAATGTTCCTGTAGTTCAATAACGCCAAAATGCAAAGCAATTTTTGTTGGTCTAGATGTTCAAAATGCAATGCAATGTCAAGTTGTGTGATTTTCTTATAGTTTTATTGGTAGATGAACACTAGGAATGCAGGTGTGTTTGTGTGTGTCTATCTTATTTTCTGTTTGTGTGAATGTTCCTGTAGCTCAAGGTGGTGCGTTTAATTTCTGGCAATGCACATGGTTGCATCAGTGAAATGCGTCAATGCAAAACGCAATGCACTTTTTGTAGTTCAAGATGTTCAAAATGCAGTGCAATTTTTGTGTTTAGCTTATTGTCTGGTTGTGTCAGTGTTCCCGTAGCTCAACAACACCAAGGTTGTGCATTTTATTCCAGGCAACCAACATACTTGCATCTGCCAAATGCATTAATGCAAAATCCAGTGCAGTTTTTGAATGTGAAAATCCATGATTTTCTTCTGTTTTATTGGTAGAAAAACACATGGAATGCAGGTTTGTTTATCTCTGTTTATGTTTTTTTTTTTGGCCATCTGAATGTTCCTGTATCTCAACAATGCCAAGGCTGTTCCAGGCAATGTGCATACTTGTATCTGCCAAATGCATCAATGCAAAATGCAATGCAGTTTTTGTAGGTCAAGATGTTTAGTAAGGTCTATTCCCAATGGTCTCCTTCCACACTGCAGGGTAGGTCCACCTCTTCCATTGATCCATCTGTTCATCCATCCACCTTCCGTCCGTCTATATTGTCGTTCCAGACCTCTGTTAGACTGAAGTGTGTCGGCCTCTGCTGGTCATAGTGAGGTACTACATTTTTATCCTCTTTTGTTTAAAATAGAACAGAGATGCATTTAGATCAGAGGTTGTCAACATTTGCCAAACCAATATAAAAATGCGAGATTATTTTGAGTAATAATATAATAATATATAACATTAACAGACATAATTGCGTTATGCTAAGCCAGTGTTGACTTCTGCAATTAACTGGTTTCGTTATATCTCTGTTTTGTTTGACAGAGAAATATGATGTTTTATGCTTTATATTTGGGGTCAGTATTTTTTCCTCAATGTCACATAGCTTGTTTAATCTGTAAATGAAGTCAAATGTTTCAACTGAACCACAAAATCCACCGGACAAGTGAACTGAACTGTTGTGCAAACTGACTATCCAGTGCACGTCAGTGATGCAATTTGATCTGCTTTTTTTGTTGCTTTTTGCTTCTAGAATATTATTTTATATGAATAAAGGGAAACAAGCAATGATTTAAAGGATCTCCTTAGATTAAGACATCTTGCAATAGTGATAATAAATCAAGGTATTTTTACAGACATATGTTGCAGTTAAAAGGTTTTTTTTTTTGAAAGAAAGAAAGAAAATTATTTTATTCAGCGAGGATGCATTCAATTGATCGAAAGTCAGTAAAGACATTTAAATTGTTACAAAAATATTCTATTTCAAAGTAAATACGTTTTTTTGAACTTTGTTCATCAATGAATCCTAAAAAATGTATTAGGGTTTCTACAAAAATATTAAGCAGCAAAACATTTTTTTAACATTGATAAGAATAATAAATGTTTCTTGAGCAGCAAATCAGCATATTAGAATGATTTCTGAAGGATCATGTGACACTGAAGAGTAATGATGCTGAAAATTCAGCTTTGCAGAGGAATAAATTACTTTTTATAATATAATCAAATAGTAAACACTTGTTTTAAAATAATATTTTACAATATTACTGTTTTTAATGTATTTTTGAGCAAATAAATGCAGCCTTGTAGAGCAGAAGAAAAAAAACCGGTAACACTTTACAATAAGGTTCCTAAAGTAGTTAACTAATGTTAACTAATGAACCTTGTAACCTGGTAAAGTGCTACCAAAAAAACTATTAAAAAAATACCAAACTTTTGAAGAGACATGTACTCGATCACAATGAACATGACATTCAAAATCATATCATTAAGGAAAGAGACATTCTTCCATAACACATAACTCACAACAAACATGACACCAGTTTAAATATTGCAGAAAAGAGTAAAAACATTCAACAATGAGACAGATTTTTGCATGAATCATTTATAGAGAAATAATCAGTACTTAACATTCAAAGTTTGCTTAGACAGTAGAACTGAATCATTCAGTGATTTCCTTCAACCATGCATTAAAAAAAAGCTATAAAACAAATTTTAGAAGGACAATTTGAAATATATAGAATATACTAATGGTGCTTTCTACAGTAATTATGATCAGGTTTCAACTTTCTTCTATTGCATTCTTTACACACACAACTTATGCAGGTCTCTTAAGATGCACAAATGTGTGCATGAGTGAAATTGTAAGATGCGGGAGATTGTGTGTGCTTATTTGGCTGCAAGTTGGTGATGTTAAAGACATAATTATAGAGTAACAAAACGCTCTCAGACACCAACACAACACATTGTTTGTTTGTGTGTGTGTGTGTGTAGGACGGTAAGCTGAAAGGGAACACAATGCTCTAACACTCATATTAGTGTAGCACAACACATGTGAGACATTATGATAAAAGCTCAAGTGGAGATAATGACATATTTGCACACATTAGCTTTGTTCAGTGTTCAAAGAAAACAGACACTCTTTTTTGTCCTTTTAGAGTGAGATGAGACTTTACAAGCACTCGTTACCAGCACATTTTTGGACAGACTGTGATATTCTTATGAAAAATAAATCTCCATACACACACACAGAAGATTCTTGACGTTTTTCCTTGCTAAAATGTCCTTATGTCCACTGCCTTGAGCTTTATCCACGGTCTCTCTGTGTGTGTGTGTGTGTGTGTGTGTGTGAGAGAGAAATTAATATCCATTGCCTTTGAAGAGCTCTGTCAACTGGGTCATTCCTATGCAGTATGTTTTCATGTCTACATCATAAAATCTTAGCATACAATGCATAAAATATTAAGCTCACCATTTCTGCAGATGGAAATCATAAGTTCATTTATTTTTTATCACAGTATAATAATGAAGGAAATATAGAGTGAATTTGAAATCATTTCGATGCTTTAATTAGACTGGATATTCATTTCTGTCATGTCTGGCTGCTGTGCTGACATCTAACATGAAAACTACAAATTTATTCAGGAATCTGCAGTTTTTTTCCTTCTCTAATCTTTATTTATTTATTTATTTTTAACAAAATGTGTTCTTGGGAATGTTGTTTTAATTGGTTATCAATTTTTCAATTTATTTGTCTTTTTCCTGCATTCTCAATGGCACTTTACTTTCTGTTTTATATACTATCATTGTGTCTTTGGTAAGCTTTACACTTCACAATAAGGTCTCATTTGTTAACATTAGCTAATGCAGTAGTTAACATATACTAACAATGAGCAATATAATTAACTTAAATGATTTTAGCAAATGGCTGCAATATAACAAAGAGTGAAAAATTTAAGGTGGTCTGAATACTTTCCGTACCCACTGTATATATATATATATATAATATTTACAACGTTTGTTGACCTTTGTTAATGTTAGTAATGTTCAAGATATAACTTTTTGTTTGTTCATGTTAGTTTACAGTGCGCACTGCAAGCATGGGTTTCTTCCTCAGTATTTTTGTCTTGTTTTCCAGACAAAAATATTCTTAATAAAGATACATTGAGAGTCTTGTTTTCAGAAAAATGCATCAAAATTAGTTATTTTATGCTTAAAACAAGAACAAATATCTGCCAGTGGGGTCAGAGAAATAAAATAAAGCTTAATTCAAACTTATTTGTCTTACCGCACTTACAGATATTTTGTCTTGTTTTAAGCAAAAACATAAAAATAAAAATCACTTATTTTCTGAGAAATGCAAAAAAAAAAAAAAAGAATATTTTAAAAGTAATTTTGCATGTCCAGTAAATTCATCTGGATTAAAGAATTTAGATATACTGGAAAACAAGGCAAAAATACTGATGAAGAACATCTCTCTCTTTTTTCAGTGCATTAACTAATTTTTACAGATACAACTTTTGATTTTAAAATTGTATTAGTAAATGATGAAATTAACATTAATATTAATAAATGCTGTAGAAGTAATATACATTGTTAGTTTACCCTTACTAATTTAGTTAATGTTACATATGAAACCTTTTTGTAAAGTGTTACAGATCCCTTAAAGGGTTAGTTCACCCAAAAATGAAAATTATGTAATTAATTACTCACCCTCATGTCGTTTCAAACCCGCAAGACCTTCGTTCATCTTATGAGGGTGAGTAATTAATGACAGAATTTTCATTTTTGGGTGAACTAACCCTTTAAACTAAAAGCCAGTTCCTTGATGACATCATCCTACAGGAAGTGACATAATTTTGGTGGGAAATCAACACCATGAACATCAGCAGGTATTAGCAATTTATTAGCAATGAATTTGATGAATTCTGTGAATTTAGAAATTGAATATAATAGTATTTAACATGTCAAAAGATGGTTTAAAAATATAAACCTGAACGACGTTAAAAAGATTTCATGTAAACTACTTTTATGATACCTTTTTTTTTTAGCTTGACAGTGTCATTCCCATTTACAGTACATTCATCGAATGGAATAGAGCAGCCTGAATATTCAAAACAATATCTTAAGGGTTTCAGAGCTGGGTAAACTGTCCTTTTTGAGGTATTTTAGCCTACATTTTCCCCCTAAAAGATTTATGTAAATATCTGTAATAAAACTAATAAGCTGAATGTGTTTTAAACACACAATAACCAGGTTTATATATTTATCATCAATAAATCCAATTTTTAATACACATTTTAACTAATGTAATATTGCTTGTTCCACAACTAGCCATATTTGTCATACTTTTTAACTGAATACATTTAATTGTTTCACAACTAACAAATTTATGTTGCATCTGAAGCAATGTGAATACATGCATTTTGAAAATATTCTTA